GGGGGAAAGGCCAAGGCCAAGCCAAGTGCAGGTTGGCAAATCTGGGCTCAAATAATGTTATTTTTGTAAAGCAGGTGTTACTTTCCTGTGAAAAAAAACTTGAAAAAAATGATGTTCTTGACATCTAGATCTCCCAACAGTGGCAGGAAATATAAATGTAATCTCAACCTCTAAAGTCTAGATTAAAAAGATTAAAGTTGGTTGGTGGTCCAACCAACTTGCTCATGTTGGATTAATTCCACCCTTGAAGAAAATGTGACAAACAGAAGAATTGTGACACCCACAATCATAAAAAACTCTGCAGGGTCGGGGATTTGCCCGATTTTGGGGATTTGCTGCAGGTGTGACAAATTCTGAACCCAAACCATCAAAAAGGGGTTGAAAACCATCAAAAAGGGGTTGAAAACCATCAAAAAGGGGTTGAAAACCATCAATTCTGTCCGGGCAGGAAATGCCAGAGCCAGACACCATCGGAGGGGACGTGGCTTTGGCCAGGGGGTCATCACCCTCACCGGCGACTTCAGAGCGCGTCCCACTGGAAGGGAAAATAAAATAAAATTAAAATAAAAATAAAATAAAAATAAAACAAACCCCAGGAAAAATAAACAGGGGATCTGTCCAGAGCCGTGGTACATCCTGAGGGAACATCCTGGAAGGGATCCATGGGGATCACCCAAGTTCAGCTTCATGGGGCACCCCGAAAAATCCCGCTCTGTGCGTGAGAGAAAGAAATATCGGGGTGTGTCGATTTGTGGTTATAATAAAAGTGTGGAAAATTAAAAAAAAACCAAGAAAGTCGCGCAGGGCATTTCTCTGGTGGGAAATAACGAGGTGCAGGTGGCCACAGGGGAGGGATTTTGGGATCGAGGATGCTCGGACACCGCTGGGGGTTGGGTCCCCATCCCCAGGGAACGGAGGTGGCTCAGTGGTCCCTCTGTTTTGAGACACCCACACCCCTCGGGACGGGGATTTAGGGGTGATCAGACCCCCAAAACGGGGCGATATGGACCCCTCCCTACCGAACAAAGGGACGTTTCTTCCCGTCCATCCCCGCCCTCCKCCGCCGAGGAAGCGGCCTCATATTTCAATAACAGAAGGGGCTTTGATGGGGCACGGCGAGAAAAAAACACCTCCGGCGGCGGGGAGAGAGGGGATGGAGGC